TCATTAAATGACTTCAAATTTTAAAGACAACATCCTTATACTATTTCTAACAAGTCTAAATAACGCCCACTCCAAATTTCTCACAAAATGAAATTCGAAATTTAAACTCACATATTTAAGCTTGTTAAAAATCTAATTTTCATCATCCAAATGGATTTGGTTTGTTGAACTAATATTTGAGTCACAGTTACTGATTCGAAAATTAACTTAAAAGCTTGAGCAATCTTTTTTAAAAATTAAATAATAATTTTGAGAACCTATTGGAGTTGGATGTTGAATTTTAACCTATTATTTTTGGGCTAGTTGGATGTAAATTGAAATGTGGGCTATAAAATTGAAAAGTACTTATGTGAAATTTTTCCTAATTTTCCACCCATCAAACGGCCTCTAGAACCATCGTTAAGGAAGGTACTAAAGACTATTTAATAATAATTCTGATACATCGTACTGCTTAAAATCTTTTGACATTAATTGTTTCAGCCATTGATGCTTTATAGAATGAAAAAGGACAATTCAATAAAAGCTGAAACATCAACTTATAAAACTTTTGGAATAAAGTGAGTTAAAGGGACTTGTCAATTGACAATTATGTAGCAATGCATTATGCACCTTGAGGATATGAAGACAGATAAATTCAAAATTCAAAATTTATGAATTTTAACGACCTCAACTTAATATAATAATAATAATTAAATTTATAGTGAAATATTTATAAATATTTAATAAATTTCTTAATATTTCATAGTAAAAATTATTAATTTCGCGTGAACCATAATAAAATCCGTCATGTAATCAACCCGAAGCTAAGACAAAAAGGACCAGACCTATAATATAAATTCATGTGAATATGCACCTCTCCTCGTCCTTATCTTCTTATACTGTTATATACTGTTATTATCCAACTTAGATAATGTATTAATGGATTAGGGAATCGTAATATCCTCTGGCACGATATTGAATATGCAGTTTCTGATTTTTGCTTTACCTTTGTATTTAAGCTTCTATTCAATCTCTATGATTGGGCGCAGTTAGCGAGAGCTGTAATAGGCCCCCCATATTCCCTTTTCTCTATCCTTTTTTTGTTTGATTGTTTTTCCTTTTTCCTCACTATCAGTATTATCCAATAAGAACTAACAATTTGTAAATATAGAGAAAGTTAGATGAAGTGAAACAAGAATGACAATCAGGCTCTTCAGTTCAATACTTCTCTATTCTTTTTTCTTTTTAAACCTCTTTGAAAAATTGACAACAAAAACAAATGAAGAAAAAAAATAAAGGAGACATTGATGGTCTCGAATTCAAAAAGCAGTACTTTATCTGCTTTTCTAAAGGTAGTTATATCAAGATAACTAATCAACAAAGAAAAGGATTATTAGATAGATGTATTGGTTTCTTTCACGTATTAAATCGTTACTCAGCACCATAAGTTCCTATTCTTACCACCAAAGGATGTGGTGCAGCGGATGAGATTGTTATTCTCTTAACCGGAGGTTAAGGGTTTGAGCCATGTGTATGGAAAAATACTTGGTAGCGCTTCCTTCCAAATGGGGCACTATGCGGCGCGAATACGGATATAGTCGGGTTCCAATGCGGTACCAGATTCAAATGAGCCATTTAGCACCTGACACGGGTGGGAATTCATAGGCCCAGATTCAAATGAGGTCCAGAAGATTCTCCTGAGCCATTTAGCAGTCCTTTGAGGTGTACTCAAGGCAGAGTATTAAGGCCCAAGACATCAACTTATTCAAAACCCAAAATAGGAATAATATGTCCTACAAAAAGGAGGAATACGCCCACCGTGGGGCTCGAACCCACGACCACAAGGTTAAGAGCCTTGCGCTCTACCAACTGAGCTAGACGGGCTTGTTTTTCACACAACTTATCATATTTTAAAACTATTGTTTTAACGCATGAGAATTGATAAACCCTTTTGAAAACTCCTTTTAACCACTATTGTTAGCTTTAACTTGCTTTAAAAACCTCTCCTTTTGTCGAAGGGAATTGTGTTAATGAAGATAGGACGGGGTTAAGGGCTTTGCGGCTAAATTAGAGGAGCATATTTTGAGTTCTTTTTAGGAGTAGTTAGTTATATTAGCCGGGTTTTTTTTTCCCTACAAGAGCCGACTCATTCATCATTAATGTTCGCAAAAACTACTAAAGTTTCAAACTTCTAGTTCTACTAGAGAGCACGACAAACACGAAGACTAAAATTGTTATTGAAAGTTCTTATCAAAGGAATAGTTCTTATCAATCGTTACAAACTCTTTAAAATTAAAGATAATTGCTCTTGGAAGTCAGATGTATTAATACTTAATTTTTCTTTTTTCCTCCGAAACTAATTTTGATATGCAAGAATTATAGCGCCCTAAATCCAACCGAATGATAGCTGGTTTATGAGGATTTGAGTTATGTTCTTCTACGTATATATCATTGAAACTTAGATTCAGATGATAACAATTGACTTATGAAACAATTTAACAGTTAACCGTGCATTGTAGACCCTATTGTTCTTTGATGTATGTGGTAGACTTCCAAATAACCCATGACTTCTTAATGGTAAAAGTAAATAGAAGAGGACGTAAAGAAGTGAAGTCTACTAATGGGCGTGATAATTAGCCTAACTTTTGAATAAAAAATTCCTTGTTACAGCAAAAGGAAGATAACAAAGTTAATATTTCTCACTGAAAATCAATAAGGATGGTGTAGTAGCCAATCTTTTCATAACAAAAGATATTCATTTTCATGATAAAAACTATGGAAATATTATATAAAAACAAGAACAATTGCAAAATTTGCGCGACTCATAAAATTAACAGGAAAAGAAAAAACTTTACCTCATTTGACACTTATAGATTGGTGTTATGTGCTGTAGATAGTTAACAGATATGTCAAATGAAAAGAACAAATTTTCAATGAGAAAAAGGATTTTTCCAATTGACAAATGGTCTGACAGTGAGAAGAATTGCTTAATTGATTTTACTGTCCAATTTTATAAAGTGAATGAAAGAGGGAGAGAAGGATGAATACATGAACCTTTAATAATTGTTGGAAGCTCGAAGGAGCAAACATTGAATGGACAATCTAAAGTTTGAGATAGTATGTACATTTGCGACGAAAAGACCAAAACAATACGTCTTCTTTGACTTTAGAATCAAAGTCATACATATTCTTTCACATGAAGCACTAATAGTATATTTACTTTAACAAAGTGGTGCACTTTTAGTCAACACTGAAAAAAGCCCAAAAACATATATTATCTTTGGCTTTAGACTCAAAGTCATGCATATTCTTCCACATGGAGCACTAATAGTACATTTACTTTAACAAAGTGGTGCACTTTAGTCATAACACTGAAAAAAAAACCCAAAAATATATATTATCTTTGGCTTTAGACTCAAAGTCATGCATATTCTTCCACATGCAGCACTAATAGTCCATTTACTTTAATAAAGTGGTGCACTTTTAGTCATAACACTAAACATATTTTATTTTTTAACAGAAATCTAAGATCTGACAAAATATTTGTTCCCTTTATTTTCTTGTTTACCGAAAGAAATAAAGATGACAGATTTATCTAGATAGCAAATAGTAAATATATATATAGAATTTATTTACTATTTATCTATTTACTATACGTAAAATATATATTTTACTAAGAAATGTTAAACACCGTTAATTTTTATTTGCAATAATTTTTATCTAGATAACCTCAAATGGTATCTAGATTTTTTATTATATACATAATATTTACTATACGTTGACATAAAATAAATATACGTAAAATCATTGTTGAAAATAAAATAAATTTTATTACTAAAATAAATATATGTAATATATATTTATTAGATTTTTTTATTTTATTGGAGTCAGCGTATAGTAAATATACATAAAATAAAAATAAATATTATGTTTACTATACGCTGACTCCCATAAAATAAAAAAATCTAATAAATATATATTACGTATATTTATTTCAGTAATGAAATTTATTTTATTCTCAGCAATGATTTTACGTATATTTATTTTATGTCAACGTATAGTAAATATTATGCATATAATAAAAAATCTAGATACCATTTGAGGTTATCTAGATAAAAATCATTGCAAATAAAAATTAACTGTGTTTAATATTTCTTAGTAAAATATATATTTTACGTATAGTAAATAGATAAATAGTAAATAAATTCTATGTATATTTACTATTTGCTATCTAGATAAATCTGTCATCTTTATTTCTTTCGGTAAACAAGAAAATAAAGGGAACAGATATTTTGTCAGATCTTAGATTTCTGTTAAAAATTAAAATGTGTTTAGTGTTATGACTAAAAGTGCACCACTTTGTTAAAGTAAATAGACTGTTAGTGCTCTATGTGGAAGAATATGTATGACTTTGAGTCTAAAGCCAAAGATAATGTATATTTTTGAGCTTTATTTAATGTTATGACTAAAAGTGTATCACTTTGTTAAAATAAATGTACTATTAGTGCTCCATGTAAAAGAATATATATGACTTTGAATCTAAAGTCAAAGATAATGTATGGTTTTAGGCTTTTCCTATGCATTTGCGAGAAAGTATCAGCAGATGAAAGCTAACTTAAGAGTTGAATAGGCTGCATTAAGGAGTACAGGTTTATTATTTATTAGAAGGTGAGTTTACTTTTTAGTACAAATATTAGTGAAGTAGTGTTTATATAATTTATGGGTAAAATAGTCCTTCAATTTTTATGGATATTTTGGTAATTCAACTTTTACATTTAGAACTTGACCTAAAGCCTTAACATGGGAACTTTATCCCAACTTGTTATTGGAAAAGAGGCCAGACGAAACGATTGGCATAAAGAATTGACGACCGTTTCATGTGACATTCTTTCATTTTTACTATGTAAGAAATGAGAAAAAACCTTTTTTTATAATTAGGAATAATTTAATTTTAAATTTCTCATTTTATCCCAAATGACATGACTTTATAGCTACACAAATGTTATGTTTAAGACCATGACTTTCAAAAAGTTTTTCTTTTCTAAACTTCATGCCCGACCAAACATTTTCACATAAAATGATAAAACATAGAGAGTACATATTTAGATTGGCCAAACCATACAATATTCCAACAGAACAACGTTGCGGAGGCTCTGGCCTAGTGAGTATTTGCTTGGTCAATACTGTTCAAGACACATAATTTAGCACGACCTTCAGGCAGTATACTGTTGCTTCGGTTTGGTCTGCAACATAACTTGTCAAGTGTAACTTTCTCCTGCGTTCGAGCAATAACAATGAAAATAAAATTATTATTGACATTGAATTTACTACCAGTACATGCGATGTTCCAATGATTTACCTCAGCATTATCCAAGTCGTAGCGGACGACAAAGATACACGTGCATTCTGTATTATCGTGTAATTTCTTTTGGATCTCCACAACTTGCGCATCACCATATACTGCGAGATATTCATCTTCCTGTGAATTTAAAACATAACATTACAAAATGGTCATAACAACATTTGGAGCCTTGCCTGTCCAGATACCATGCTTAATTGTGACTTTGTTGTTGCACTGGTACACCAAATCCATTTTTGGAAAGCGGAAATTTCATGATTTCTATGGTGCTTTTTTTTAAAAAACTAGAGTTTTTATTCTTAACGAAAGTTGGAGAAACGAAATGATACCCTGAAGCACATCAAGGGATCTCCAACATTCACCCTGTCACATTCTGAGGGCTTTAAGGGAACGGAACGTTCACGTACTCTCCTTTTAACATTCACCCATTCATCTTCTTCATGACCAAAGCCAGCAAATCTTATACGAACTTCCTGCATAACGAAATACTACATAAATGTCAGACTATAAGCGACAAATCTTTGTCTGACGTAAAATTCTGTTGATATGACGCTGATTGTTGCACCTTAATATGGAGCCCATTTCATTACATATATTATTTTAGTAAATGCATTTCGACTTAAAAATATATGCCGAGTGACGAGTGAGTCCACCATAAATGGGGTCTGGGGAGGGTAGTACGTACGCAGACCTTACCCCTACCTTATAAAGATACAGAGATTGTTTCCGATAGATCCTCGGCTCAAGTAAAAGTGGAGATAAAGCAACAAGTACCAAACAATAGTAAGAACAATATATTAAGTTAACGGACGCGAATGACACAACATGTAATAGTAAAGAACCATGAATAAAATAATACAAAAATAATCCAAGTACAACTGGTAAGCCTATGAGGAACACACTACTATCTGTCAACCTACAATCCTAATCCTCGACCTCCACACCTTTCTATCGTGGGTCATATCCTCGGTAAGTTGGAGCAATAGCATGTCCTGCCTAACAACCTCTCCCCAATACTTTTTAGGCATGCCCCTTTCCTTACAGTCCACCATCAACGTTTCGAATTCAGTTATCCATGCGTTTCTACCATTATTCCATTGTGTTCTGAGGTGTCAAATTTATTTATCTCACATGAGTGTATCTGTAATTTCACATAAAACCTAAGGCCTGAGGATTAGTGGTTCTAATCTATGGAGTAGGAACTTCAAAACACAGAACTGTTCCTACTTCACTCTGGTCCATGGCAATGTAAATCTTCCCTATTTCACAGTGGTCAAGGAGAAATCTTAAATCTCTCACATACACCGTGATCACTAGACTACTAAAACTTCCAAGTAAACAAGAACAGCCGGACAAATTTAAATTTAAAATGACAGTGCACCTAGGCAAATAGGAAAACCAGAAAAACAATCACAGAGAACAAAGAGCTTACAAGCTCGCCTGTGCGAAGAACTCTGAAGTTGAGAAATGAGGCCACATCATACCTGCAAAAGACAGAGAAAAGCTACTTGGTCAGGTTCTCTAAGTTACAAAAGTAGTTCATAGAAGACAGGGGGATTATCAATTTTGCCGCTGCGCTTAAGAGCCTGGCAGAGTATAATACAGTTTGCAGCATTTAATTTCACATTTATTTAGTTTAGGACTTCACTAATACTTAGCTTTAGTTGCAAGAGTCATTCTTTGTTTTCCTAAAATTCAGTACATAATCTAAGAATTGGAGAATAAGGACAAGACAAAGAACAGAAAAGAAAAGGAGAAAAAGAATAGTTGACAGCAAATGATAGTAGCAGAAAAGAAGTCCAAAAGCAGAACTAGCAGCAGAAGAGGCACACACAGATAAGGAGAAGCAAAAGTCTTTTTGGACAAAAGAAATCAAGAAAGAAGCAAATCAAGAGAAGCAGAGAAACAGAAGTAGAAAAAGAAGGAAGTAATGAATATCAGAATCTAGTATTACTATAGAAAAGGGAGTTCTGCTACACAGCCCGTCAACCTTTACGACATTCATATAAACCTTCAATAGAATTCTATGCTCAGAACATCATTAAGTTGCTTTGACCTAGAACCAACTCATATAATGCCTGAACCATTCAGCCACTGAATATTGCCAACTTTTGCCGTCGCACAATCCGAGGTATCAAAGATTTGCCTCTACATTATGGTATGTTCATTGACTTCGACATTTCATGGTAGAAGTTGAGCGAACATGATAAATCAGTACTCATAATTCGTTTTGGCATTCAATTACTATGATGAGGAATGTAAATTATTATCTCGGGGTAATTTCATGGACGATATCCAGCCTCAACCACGTGACAGTTTTTCACTTATTAGTAGTTTCTTATTCTTCCTGACGTAACCGAGAACGCCTCAATACTTTGTTACTACCTTCAACTTTTTAGACTCCACTCTCCATACTGAACTCAGATATTCATAAAGCAGCACAAATCAACAAAAGAGACTCTGGCTGAAACGTTTATTCAGTACGCCTTTTTCTAGACATAAGCCCCACGTACAACATCACCACGACATTTATCATCTTTGGCAATCTAACAAGGGAAAAGGGCCAAAAATATCCCTCTACTATGCAAAAAGGATTAGTTATGCCCTCCGTTATACTTTCGGTCTATTATTGCCCCCGACGTTACAAAACTGGTGCAGAAATATCCCTCCACCGTTAAGGCCCTCCATCATGGACACCACCATCCCATATGGCTCAACATATTACTGAGGTGGCCCCCACATGGCATGTCACTGCCCCAACCCCATTTACTCCCTCTCTAACTTCCTCCACCACCACCGCCCCTTGCACCCATCCACTACCACCATCTTCCTTAGTAACTGTTTTAGCTTACTTATGGAAATTAATGAGGAGAAAGTCTGTTCTTAAAGAAATTGGGATTTCACTTCCATGAAAGAAAATTATATATGCATACATTTTAAAGTGGGCTAACAACAAAGTAAGAAACTGAGGAAGCCAGAGTCATATATTCATATGGCAAGTTAAAAAGGTGTTATCTCAAAAAACATCTCTTCAATAAAATCCTAATAATTTGTTTGTATCATTTCCTTTGATCTCAACTTTCTGAAATCATAGTAATAGAGTAGGCAGACTTTTAATGGGTTATTTCAATAGGTTTGGGTAGCAATCATTAAAACATTCTCTGGTGAAGAATTTGCTGCAAAATTTCTTCTTTTTCTTTAGTACCATTACAGTTGCCATCATCATCAACCATGGAGAACCCACCGAAAGATTACCGAACAAACGGGGGCATTCTTCTTGTGAACTTTTCCAATAAAAATTCTCTTTTTAAATTACATATAGAACAAATCTTTGATTCAACTACTTCTAGTTTTAATCTGATTCTGCGAATCTTTATGCTTCAAGGCTTGATATAGTTGGTACTTTCCAAATGCCACAGATAAATTGTGCAGATTTCAATTGGGTTCGGTTTAATTTCTATTGTTGGATGCAATATATTTGAATTCAGATGGAACATTCATTTTGGGTGAAGGGGGAAGCCGGTGGTAGAAGAAGAAGTTGGGGAGGGGGTATTTTGGTGGCCAACTCAGTGAAATGTCAGGCCACATCAGATGGTGGTGTCCATGATGGAGGGCCTTAACGACAGAGGGGTATTTTTGCACCAGTTTTGTAATGTCGGGGCAATTATAGACTTAAAGTATAACGGGGGGCATAACTAGTCCTTTTCACATAGTAGAGGAATATTTTTGGCCCTTTTCCCATCTAACAATGGTTAGTGAAGAATGTAAGAGACCAATAGTATTGAGTCACAATCAGAAACTACAAGGAGAAAATAGAAACAGATTAGGGTCTTGAACTACCAGCAAAATGTAACACTATTTGTCATATAGAGAAGGCTACAATTGTGTTAAATGCTCACCAAGCTAAATCCTTTGCTGAAAGAGCTTCAAAAGACAACTCTGCGAGCTCTGTGGCCATCTCTGCAGCAGAAACTGTAACAGAATGCACATTAGTCTAAGCTTGAGTAACAGAAACCAAATAGTACGGCATTCAAGGCACTATATCTAAAATATCTGAGTAAGTTACTTGCTCAATCATACGATACATCATTTTTATCATGACAATGTGCTCGTGCGTAACAGAATACAAAACTGCAAAACGAGTAATCTCCATGTTCAACCATGACAAGTAAAACAGAGATAAATCAGATAAAAAATCAAGAAAAATGTCTCAAAACCACAGGATATCGTACTTGTATATTTTCTCTAGGTTTCACCAAGATGCTTGCAACTGTTTAAATAAAACTGTTGTGTTTGAGCAATAAAAGCAATACGATTAGACTAAAGTTGGTAGCGAGTATTTTAAAACAAAATCCGAAAGATTCATTAAAGGGATACTCAAAAGTTGGTGAAGGAGCTCTATGTTGCCCGGGCCTAATATCTTAGTCTTACTTTAGCCATCAGTTAAGTATTCATGCAGTCAAATTTGAATTAAAACTTTTTGCCAAACTCATACGAAGAGAAAGATTTCAACTGAATGGCAGGTTAAAACAGATTAACAGGAAAAGAAGACATTAGAGTGATCTTGTGCTAGTTACATTAAGAATTTATTTTATCTTTAATGTTTTTAGCATAATTATGTATATTTGAACAACTGAAAAGTAGTTTCTTGCATTTCATACATTGATACAAATAGAGTAAACAACATTTAATCCATTAAGTGAGGACAAAAATCAAACATCAGATATATAAAGGTCAAGGGGAAATCGGTAACCTTTGGGCTTCTGAGACCGGTCATATGCACAATCGGGGAGTCTTGTGTACCCGCAAGCATTGTATTTTCTGGAAAGCATTAGAGCTGAAAATTTCTTTTTAGATTTTGGTTTTCTTGCTTGTCGAGGTCGAGGAACATCAGATTCTTTCTTATCAGCAATGGCTTTAGCTGCTTGTGTTTTTTGCTTATCCATAAACCAATCTTGCACCTTTAACATAGCAAAAACATACATAATAGATTTATAATATAATCCAGAATCCAGATAACATGAATACCTAAAAAGGGAAATAAATATTGAGAAGATAGTTCATAGATAAACCTGTTCCCATTTTATGAAAGATTTTCCAGTACGATAAGGTGAACAACTGCAAATTTAAAAATTAGCAAACAAAAGAAAAAGCATATAAGTAAAGAAGAAAATTCAACTTATCAAAGCGGAAGTAGTAACATTTATTTTAGCCCCAAAGGGAAACTTTACCTAAACTTAGTTGCAAGTTTTTGACAGAACTCTTGACTAATTGGTTTTTCTTTCATTCGCTTAAACAAGGCGGTCATTTTCATATCCTGTAGAAAGTAACTGAAAATCCTCAGAATTAATGAAGCATTTGCAGATTTAATCCACATTTAGTAATTTAATCTAAATTTGATCATGCTTGATTTTAGTTCCCTGTATGTTACAGTTAGATAAGGGAACTAAGTAAAATGTAACAAAACAAAAAAGGAACAAGATTAGATGAGAAGTCAAAGGAATTGAAATCAAACAAAGAAAATGGCATGCAAAATCAGAGAAAGGGAGAAAATAAGTTTGCCTAAAGCAGAAAATAAAAGATTGCTAACAGTAATGTGAATTAACCTCAGCTAATGTGAACTCGGCCAATTCTTCTTCTAATTCCACGAAGTCAGCCATTTTTCCTGCCTCTCAAATGCAGAGAGAGAGAGAGAGAGAGAGAGACTGAGTGTGTGTATGTGTATGTGTGTGTGTGTGTTTTATTGGATTTTGTGCAGCTGACTGCCTGATAGAGAAGCAGAGTTGTAAGTTGCTTTAATAGGGAAAGAAAGATCCTCTGAGTCGAGGGGAGTGTCTGGTGTACTTGTTCACCCACTAGTTAATCGCCACGTGTACGTGTTTATTTCGACTATTGGAGCAAGTCAACTTACCCACCCAAACTGTTGCAATTGCCTCATTCGGTAGCAAATACTTAAGTTTGCTACATATATTTTATATCAAATCAAGCATTTAACTTTTAGTATTATAATTATATATATATATATATATATATATATATATATATAATTTTATATGATAAAAGTTTATATATAACACATATATCTTATATTCATCAATTTTATATAGAAATACCAAGTGAGTGAATATTTTTCAATAGCCAAAATGGCCTCCTGGCCACTTAAACTTGCACCTGATTGCCAACCCGATAAAGAAACTTACAACTTTCCATTTCAACACCCCAACTAATACATATATAAACTACTAATAAACATCTTTAACCATTGACTATGCTTATGTGGCAAGAGCACATGTGACATGGACAGTGCGTGCAGCTCACATAATTAGCGCGTGTGAGTACAGTAATTTTGGATTAAAAAAAATTAAAATAAAAAAATAATAATAAATGAAATAGAAAGAAAGAAAGGCCCACATGTCATCTCATCCCTTTCTTTACCATTACATCCTTTCCCCTTTCTTGCTCTACCCCCAACCAATACATCCATTTTCTTTCTCTTACTTCAAAATCAAACCCAACAGTTTTACTCTTGCAAGCACCCTTCAATTTTCTCTCATGCTATTCTTCCACTGAAAGTCAAGATTATAGTTGAGAGAGAGATTAAGAATCCAAAACTTGTATGCCAATTTTTGAATTAGGCAAAAACAAAACAAAAATCAATTTTGGAATTCCAGAAGTAGATCAATGATGGCTTCAAAGTGGAGGAGCATTCTGGTGTAGTTTTGTGGTGGCCCATGGTGGGAAGGGAGTGGTGAGCTTGTGGTTTTAGATAGAACAACTAATCGAGTTATCTTTGTTGCTTATTTTTCCCTTTTTTTTGGTCTATGCGCAGATAAATTCTAGTGATTTTGACTTATTTGTAGTGGTGTGGTGGTGCTGGCGGTAGAGATGTGAGTGACGAGTTGATGTGGTGTATTTGGGTGGAAACACATGGTGGGGTTGGCTTATCTGTAGAATGCCATGAAGAAGAAAAGGAAAACCATGAAAATAAAAATTTGATAAATTTGTTAAAATAAGTGGGACCCATAAATTATACATGTCAAGCCACTACTAGTCCTAAAATATGACGTGTTATAGTGTTAGCGCATTTGATATACACGCTCCATTTGAGAGGTTTATTAGTTCACAAATGTATGAATTGAGGTGTTTAAATGGTAAAGTTATAAGTTCCTTTACCGGGTTGGCAATCAGGTGCAAGTTTAAGTAGCCGGGAGGCTATTTTGCCTTTCCAATATGCACTAACTTAATCAACAGGAATAATTCAATTGAAATTTATAAGAACACTCCTATGGTAATATATGTGGCTATCTCATTATTGCAATTTAGACACGTATAACTTTTCTTTGTTTTTATAAGTGCAAAGGTAGAGAACTAATTTTCTGTGTTTAAAATAAAACTGATATTATTAAGTTTTTGAACCATAATGGTGTACGAAAAATATGATAAGTATGTTAATTTGTACCAATTTCTCGTAAGGATAGAATAATGTTTACATATCAATGTGTAATCTATACATACCTCATGTAAACTTTTATATGATTGACGAGAATCATAGTTTCTTACATGGTATCAGATTGCTTAGGTTCCTTCTGTGCGCTCTCCTCTTTTCCAGCTTCATGTCATCATCTTCATCTCAATCCAGTTCTTCAACCTCTAGTGTTATGGCTGCATCTTCCTCTCTTCCAGTTTCATCCCAATCTGCAATATCTCTCTCCAACATCAAAAACCTTCTTCCCACTGTTCTTGATTACACCAACTACATGCTATGGAGAGAACTCTTTTTACCCCTATTCAAAGGTCATGGAGTTTACGATTTTATCGATGGGAGTTATGTTTGTCATTCACTCACTGTTCTTAATGATATTGGCATTGTAACACTCCGTAAATTCGAACTAGATGTGGACATATTAAATGAGTATTAAGATGGCATCTTAGACATATGGAGTCCTATCGGGGTGAGTACGGGTGAAAAGAGTTGTTTTTGAATCAAGACGGAGAGTGAGGTGTATAAGATTTGATAAAATCGACTAAGTTTATAGAAAGTCTGTCATCTAGAAGGATTTCGTAAATATCAGTTGGGAATTTGGGACAACGTAATATATGAAAGTTGTAGCCATTTGAAATATCTTTCCAAAGATATATTGTGGAGCCCAAACATATTTCTGAGCAAAATGTTATGTGTATTTTATTGGACAATGCACATTATGCGCGCCTAGATGGTCTCGTGCGCAGCCGTGCACTTGTGGCAGTGCTGCTGCCCTGCTGTGTGTCCAGGTGCTTGGTTGGGCCTTCAGGTGCATAGGAGTGCACCCGGGGGGTCATTTTTAAAGCCCTACTTCGTCCCCCACATCCCAAAACACAAAAAACTTGCTCTAGAAAGGGAAGCTCTTAAGAACCTAACTCCTCCAAGGTCCCTCCACCATCTAAGGTAAGTTATAATGGTGATTCTAAGTTAATTTCAATTCTCCAATACCTTATTAACATGGGTAAACCCTCCAAATTATTAGATATTTGATTGAGACATCAGTTTTGAGAGACAAAACCCTAGAACTCGAATTCAAGAAGATTGAACGCTAAGAAGGTAATATCTTCATCCTCTAATTGATTATAGCATTGGATTAATGATTATAAACTACAAGTTCATGAGACATGGGTTGATGATTTTGATAGAAAAGCATGAATGATTATAGGTTTGGTTTGTTGATTGTTAATTATTTATTAAGGGTGTTGTTTATCTTATGGGTGATGAAGAATGGTATTGATTATAGCAAATTGAGATTTTAGAATTTATCTATGAGCAATAGAATGGGTTGTTGGGTGTAGAAACACTATTAATAAGGGCTATGAAGCTTTATGCCCACCAAGTATTTGAGAAAATGCCTAAGTTACCAAAACATGAGTATTATTGCTAATATGGAATCCATTTGACTTGTAGTGATATAGATTAAAGTTGGAAGGGTTGGCGAATGTTGTATTACACTCAAGAGCAGGAAGTTAAGGTATGTGAGGCTAACTCTCTATGTTTGGGAATGTTAATGATTCTCCCTACACTACGTTTCTTTTACGACATTACTAATTGCCTCAGAAGTATAGTTAAGTCTAGTTCCTTAAATAGTTATAGAACTTCTATTATCTAGCTTCATAACTCATTCATGACTTTTATTCCGAACGTTGTGAGCTCAGTACGTAATCAATATAGACTTCTGTTTGATGCCCATGAGTCTTATTCTAGATTACTCAGCATGTCATAAACAGTTGAAGTTTCAGTTTTCATAATCAGTTCATGAATACATGTCTCAGTCTAGCTCTATTCAGCATTCAAGTATCATGTAACTCATTATGGTTCAGTATTTCAGTATCATGTATTTCAATATGATTCTCAGTTCCTGATTTTTAATCCCTGAATGTTGAACACCTTTATTTGGGCTTGAGGCCGCAGTTTATGCTTTGTGCATCCTTGGGCCTGAGGCCGCAGTTTGTGCGCAGATATATTGGGCCTGAGGCCGCATTTTATTTATTTAGATAAATAAGTTGTTCATCATTCTGAAGAGGGAGTATTCATATCCTTACTTAATTTATCAATTATCAGTTATCATTTTAGTTTCAGTTTCAACAGTTATCATTTCAGTTATCAATTATCAATTCTCAGTTATCAGCTCAGTATCAATTTCACAATTTATATTTCTTTCTTTCAGTTGCTTTACATACCAATACAATTCAAATGTACTCACGTCCTTTTTGCCTGGGGCCTGCATCTCATGATGCATGTAATGATTGATAGGTTGATGATTCAGAGCGCCGGGATCCTCGAACCAGCTATTTGGTGAGCCCCAATTCTTTCGGGGCATTACCATTACGTTACAATCTTTATGCATTTAGAGACAGTCAGTGTTTTCAGTACTTCATTAGAGGCTTCATAGACTAGAGTAACAGTTAGATAGAGTCGCAGGTTTTTCATGTTAAGCAATGTTTGCTACAGATATGTTTCAGAATTATATTAGTGTTTCCTCACTTGATTTATTTCATTCACACTTTCAGTAAATCATTATGTGTTAGGTTATCTTCCGCATTCAATATGTTATGATACCACATGTTGATTTAGTCAGCAGTTGGTTCACTCGGTCGCATGTAGTCTGTCACCGGGTGCCGTATTACGTCCAAGCCCAGGTTCGAGGCGTGACAAAGCTTGGTATCAGAGCCCTAGGTTCAAGTGTCCAATGGAGTTTATGAAGTCGTATCCAGTGGAGTTTCCTTTATATGTGTGTGCCGGCCACGCATATAAACAGTTAACTACCAAGACATTCTGGATTTTCTCATTTATTTTAACTCTAGATCATGCCATGAAGCTTAGATCAATAGTCAACCTTCTCTTCCTATCGAATTCCAAATGTATTGGATGCCAAATGCAGGAAAAACCCAAGGTTCTAGAGAGGATGATTGCCCATTGGGGTATATTTATGGAGTACAGGTTGAATGAGACTTGATAGGATGTTGAAAGTGGGATGCAATTAATAGTAATAAAAATATTAGAGCATAACCTTATCAAAAAGTGCAAAAGAAGTTATCATATTTTATGGTTATCAGTTTACCTTAGTTACCAATTACACAGTTTAACAAGTTTATGGTTATTCAATACACCATAATTCAGTTATATTATCACGCCCCAAACCTGAAGAGGCGTGGCCGGCACCCGGTGCCATACTTGGCCCGAACGTACCACTCTGTAACTGTGAACTCTGGAGGGTAACCCTCAACTTA